AAAAATACAAGGTCAATTCAACAAATGAAAGCTAAGAGGAAACAAAGATCATGAAGAAACGAATGTGAAGAAAGAAAAAAGAAACAGAATGAAACTCACAGTGCTGAATAAATAAATAACATTACCAAAATGAATGTGTTATTTTGGCGTTGTAAAACAACACAATAATAATGAAGTTAGAAATGTAGAGCCTGATGGTGAAGTTATTGAAAATCGTTGATCTGGCAAATAATCTTTGTTTTCGAATATATTCAATGAAGATTTCTAAACTGGTGAAATATTGGATAAGTAAAGTTGAAACGCTCAAAAAAACCATTGTAGACAAAATAAATGTTTTCATTCAGTTTGATCCTAAAGGTGACGACACTGAAGTAACACTAAGAAGAAGACTGAAACCACAAGGTAACTAAGCTGGTTATCTTGCTCACTGTAATGATTTTTCTACTGCAATCAATTATCCTTAGGTAGTTTTTTCAAGATATCTGCAACTATGTATGTAAATCTTCATTTGTTTGCCAAAATAGTTACATTGGCAGAACAGAAAGTAGAGGTCACATTCGATTTGAAGAGTCTTATGTCAATAGGAATGAAGGACTTGAACATTTTATAACAGAATATGAGACTGATTGGATGAGTTCTTTCAGGAATATCATTAGACAATCTAACAATTCTAACATTTTCCAATTTGCCAAAACCGTAGCTATCAAACAGCTCAAATAGAATTTATGTATCCCAATGCAGACAGTGGCAAATCTTGCCTTATCATAATAAAGTTATGTTCATTGTACCATATCATTCTTACAAATCTCTGTTTCTGTTTTTTTTTCTGTTACATCACATTGTTTGTAAATCTAAGCCAAATAATGTTTACGTAGGTTATTCTTAATTATTAACAATCACCTGTTATTATAATTAAACAAAAACCAAATATACCAATGTAATTGAATAAATAAAGTTATAATGATATGAGTTTGGTGGTAGTTAGAAAACAAACTAAAATTTTACATATCTAACCAGATGTCATGATAACTAGTAATTTTAAAATTACATTGAAATTTAAAAAGTTGAATTTTTAATCTAAATTTTTTTTAAATTACTAATCAAAATATACTTTCTATCTTATCCTTTTTTTCTTTTTTTAATTAAATACAAATGAATTACATGTAAAATCATAGTATTACAAAAGAACTAAGTACAATGTTTAACATGGCCGCGTGTGTTTGTTTATTTACCTATCATATACACACAGATGTTCAATGAAAAATGGAATATTGAATATAGTGCATGTGTTCAATAATCAAAATGGTTATGGGTTATATCTTAAGTTTACAAAAGAACTAAACAATATTTAGGGTTTTTTATAACTTGGAAAATACATAATTATATGTTGTACACATATTATAAGCTTTAGTGGACGTGGGTGAAGAGGTGACTTATTGATTTCTTGTTCAAGGTCTTGTCCTTGTCTATCTTGAATGCAGTTAAATATGTAGGCTGTTTAGGATCATGGAAAAAAAACTCGCAGTGAAACAAATAGTTCTGTTTTATGTTTTTCAAAACAAATATTCCAACTATAATAATCTGTGATAAAATTCTGATTAACTACTCTTAAATTAGTTAATTGAATTTCAACTTACCAAAACTTATATCTTCTGATTAGATCGCAAGACTGATATTAATTCAGGCTTTTGTGAATTTGTACAAAAACAACCTCACTTTCAGGCACCACATTTCTAACTTCATTATTATTGTTATTTTACAACGTTAAAATAACACATTCACCTTGACAATATTATTTCATTATCCAACGTCGTAAGTTTCATTCTGTTTCCTGTTTTATTCGTCACATTCGTTTCTTCATGATCTTGGTTTCCTCTTACCTTCGATTTGTCTCATTAACCTTTTATATTTCCACTACATAAATGTTCGTAACCGATATGGTGTGTGTGTGTGTATGAGATCGAATTTGCCAGAAATATACTATGGTATTATATCTCATCATAGTTCTGGCAATCTTTGTATACTTACAAAACATTTCATAAACAATAATATTTTATTGATTATGAATATCATTCGACTAGTCGATTTCAGAAAAAAAAATGCAAAACAAATGTCCTATAATGTGACCTCATTTTATCAGAAAATAAATGTAACATCTGCATGAATGAGGTACGTAAATTGTTTCACCATGAACAACACATGACAGATATGGGTTGTGTTAATTTTCATATTGTTCATGTATAAATGAATAGATTTGTTCATGGCTGATTTTGTATTTCTATTTTACTTTCTGTTCAAAGGATTTACAGTTGAACTTCTTTTTTTTGTCAAGAATACCTGATTGTAAAATGTGTATTATCCTTAAATTAACTAGACATTGGTGTTATTTCATGGTGTATGAAACAAAAATGTTTATGACCTATTCAGTTTGTTTGTTTTTGTTTTAAATAGAAAAGATGATCTATTTTAATTCGAAAATAGTTTGGAATTTAATAGACAAATACTATTTTTTTGTTCTTTACGTCTATTTTCTAGATGACCTCAATTAGTCAATGATTCATTTTGAATATATTTCATCTATGAAATTGCCTAAACTAGCTAATTATAGTGTTGACTAATTAAAAAAAATTTATTTGAAAAATAAATGAGAATATAGTAAACAATTAAGGCAAATCATTTGTATGTTAAGGGTTGAGAAATGAAAGTGGACAGTCTGATAACGAGTAAATAAATAACTTCATTGAATCCTATAATTTTCCACTATAAATTATTGATTTTAAGGAGAAATAACCAAGGCTGAAGTGAAATATGATGAAAGTATAGTGTAAGGATGAGCCAATTAGAATCTGGAAGCATCATTTTGAATTATCACTTGCAAGTTAAAAAATCAACAGCCTTTATTTTTTTACGAGAACTTGTACATTTAGAGCCAACACAATGCCCAGAATTTTACAAACAAACATCAAGAAAGTTCTCCTGTATAGAGGCAGAAAGTTGGAAAACTATCAAAACCATCAACCACTACACAAGATACACTACGCATCCATTGGCCAGGCACCACCAGTAACTGCCTACAATGGAGAGAGAGCGAACTATATTCCAGCTAAGGAATAAGTTAGGAAGAAGTGGATACGACACACATTATCTTCAAAATTCATCTATGAATCAATTAATACAGATTTTATGAAGAATAATAAATTCTCTATAAAGCTATTTATGCTAATCAGAAAAATTTGCAAGTAAACCTCTATTGTGAGTGAATTGACACATAGGTTAAGCGTTTACGTAACCATATTTCGACGATATTAAGATTGGAAAACTGTTAGTAAGTCTCGGAAAACTAATAAACTACGTTAAATCACCAAGGTAGAACGGATTTGATCATCTGTGGTCTGGAATACTTTTGAACTGTATGAACTCTTTATTCATTAATAAGAAATCACATTGTCATGCTAAGAATTCTTTAAACTAATCATATCTGTCTATCAAAATGCATAAACATTATACATTTCAAATAAAGACTCTTAATTTTCTGATTTAAATTAGAAAAAAAAACTGTGTCAACTAACATTTATTCAAAAAGTAACTTTTCAGAATACCAAATCCGTGAATGTAGTAAGTTGAAAATTGAATAAAACTTAAAATGTTTAGTTTTCTAAATGAAAATTGTGTGTAAATCAAGTGGAGATTTTTGTGAATTCACAAGTTTTAAAAAGCGAAGATGAAAGGTGGTGGCTAGTAATGAAATCTAGGAATATCTAAACTGAAGTTTCACCACTGTCTTAATCATAACGTTTTTGATTGGTTAATGAGCAGTCTATTATGTTCTGGGTCATTTTATTGTTACTTTTATTATCTGATGCTATTTATTTTAATTTTAACCAACAGTATTTGAATAATAAAACAAAGAATGTTATACTTGAGTACTAATCTGAATGCAGACTACATTATGGTTAAGAACATACTTGTTAATAGTATTATGGAGATTGGTTGATGTGTATTATCATAAGGGATTCATGACTTGGTGCCATTTTTATTGTATTTAAGTAATCTGTACATCACAAAAAAGGAATCCATTGTTTGTTTTTTTCTAAATACTTGTTATTTCATGTGTCTTAACTATATATCATTTGTCTAGGAATCGAATCATTAAAAAGAAAACACTTTTCGTTCTATTAGGGGCTGTAAAAAAATTGCAAATTTTTATAAATATTATCAGTGTGTTGAACATTTAATCATAAACAGTGGTTTAAAACAATAGCTATAAGCCGTTTCATTTGAATTTGGTCTTCTTTGGTTTTCCCTAATCTAATGTTTAATTCACATATGACCCTAGTTTACTACATTGAGTAATCTATTGTACAGATAAATTAAACACATAAATCGATCTCTTAATGTACTATTAGAGATTATTGTGTATTTATTTTCATGGGTTATTGCAATGTCAATCAACTCATCAAGTACTTGTATCAAGGTGAGAAACTGAACGCATTCCTACTTGAAAAATGAGTAGTTAAGGGCACTAATTTTTTTTAAGAATCTACAAGAAACTCTACCATATCATCCTTCTACCATGAATTACATTAGGAAAATCATTTACTTTAGGAATTATAACATACCTTTGCCCTATGCCTTCAAAGTATGAAACGTATATGAGTTTATTTACAAAACATCCAGTAATTTTGCTTCTTGAATAACTTAGACAATAAATCCACACTATTTGGTGGTATATGTTATTCTAATTTAAAAAAGCAATTCAGATACTGAGTTGTTTGATGTAATTAACAGTACAAAAACTAGTTAGATATTGTGAGTTATGAGAAAATGCGCACGAAAGATTAATTGTTATTTCGAATGAAGCATATTCATCTTTATAATCTCACTTTAATTATTCTGTTCAAGTTAGAATACTATTGATAAAACTGAAGTTATTGATTAGTTACTTTTATTAATCAACTTTATTTCAGCTTGTTTTTGTTATCGTTATTGTAATTTTACAGGCTCCAAGTGATTTGGATTCAGTGCATCGTGATTCTAACGCTTCAGAAACATCACTATCATATGTTACTCGTGGATTACAAATTATTGACTATTTGGAAGATGATTTATGGGCAGCCACAATTTTACAATGTGACAATAGTTCAAATGCTGGTCTACTACGACAACTTGAAGCTGGATGTCGATTAGAACCTGAGTTATATAGAATGGAACGTGTACAAACTGTGAAAAATCGTGAAACTGTAATTGATTTTCCTAGTAAACCAACAGTGAGAACAATAGGCTTAAGTCGAAATGCTAGTGATACAGATTCAATCAATACAACACTTACTGGAGTTGACCTTGCTGATGAAACATGATTACATGAATAAATATTAATAACTAGGTAGTTATCTTTGTATGCTATGCTAGAAAACTGACAGATGTCCCAACTGAACTATGTATATTTATGCCCGACATTTATTCTAGAGAAACAAAGTTTATACTGAATGTTTGATGTCTACCTTTCATCAAATCTCACCAGAGTATGCTTTTGTTTGTTAGAATAATAGGCCTTACCTTTAAGCTTTATACTTCTTATACAAATGATGAATAAAATCTAATTTGCTCAAAGTATTTTTGAGTTGTTTTCACATACTTATGATATTGGACATTGAATTGTGTGGTAGCGTAACTGAGTGACCTTGTTAACTTCTCTCCGAATTCCAGTAGAAGTAAAGAAAATCGAACAAGTAGTCACTGGATACTTCAAACACCTTAAGACTCATAACTTACATTTATTGTTGACTATTCTAAAATTATAAAGACTATATCAAAATTGACTCATGAATTCACAAGTTGCTACCACTTATTTGAATTCATAGAATAATTCGAAATTTTTGGTTGTATTTTGACAGTTTTACTAAGTTGATATGAAGGTCCCTATTTGACAAATTTTCAGCAATACTCTCATAACTCATAAAAAATATTGTAAACAATGTCTAATCAGATTATGCAATTTTAATTTTAATTATTTCAATATCATAAGCCTTGAGAATTCAAGAGAATATAGAAATTTTAAAGGTTAGGAGTCAGTTTCACTCATTATGATTTGTAATTTTGACTCTTAAAATATGTAACGAGATGAAAGTTTATTATTCTCGTGTAAGTGATATAGTAGAATAGGTTTTGCATAATATTTGGGAAATGATTCAAACTGGATAACTGACAAAATGAATGCTTTCTCGCAGACCTATGAATTCCACCACACTACGGAATATCAAAAAGCATAGTTATTTACTGAAGAAAATGACTGTAAGCAGAGAACTATTAGTCAGTATTTACGTTCTGCTGTCATATATATATATATATATATATTGCTGCATAATGTTTGACAGCTTATTTTCAGAGTGTAAACTCTCAAAAAGTATCACAAGTTCCAAGATAAAGTAAAGTTCGAAATGTAATCCAACATCAGAAAATGATTATTCCTGAAAATAAATTGACAATTCAGCACGCATGTAGTTGAATGACCGTCGAAAGTTCTATCTAGAAAATGTTTCAATCAGAAATCAAAATTTTGATTTTCAACCTATAAGGTGGAAGTCATTCTACATCACATTTGAATTCAAACCACTACATTGGACAGTCCATTGTTTCGTTAAACCAATTAATTAGTTTATATTAATTAACCATAGTATTTCTGTTAAATGCTAATTCTTTGAATTCATAGGTTATGATAGTTTATAATATTCCCATAAGTCAACAATCGTTAAGTTATTGAAACGAAATTATTGTAAGTAAATCCATGCCATTCAATTCATCTGGTTGGTGATATAATGGGATATTATTCAGATCACTGGATTTTGCATCAATTCATTATGAATTTCAATCTCAGTGATACGCATGAACTTCGTTCAGTGTTATAATCTGAGATCAATATTTCATTTTATCAATTAAGTGCCTACCTCATTTAATATGACAAGTGTTAATTTTCGTTCAGTATGACAATGATATTCTCTCTTTCAGTCAAAGTGAGGTGTATTCATTGTCTGCTTTTACAGTAACTCTATGTGCTTCCTCCTATAAGTGATAATGATATGCGTGAAAATTAGTGATATAAGTTGATTGTATTTTTGTGTTTAGATGATGTGATTTAGGGATTAGTTTTGGGATGTGTTTTTAGATGGTGAAACAAATCTCCATTGTACCAATCTTTCATGTTCTCACTTCACTGCATGAGAATTACAGCGGCTTGCTTTTCAATGTAAAGTCAATCAGACATATAAAAGTGGTGACCAGAAAACAACAGCGGCAACGTAGATTCAAAAGTCGACGACGAAGATAACCTATGAGCTAACAGTTATATCCCTAATTTTTCATAGAAAATTAAAGTTTTCGATAATAAGATAAGAAATTTCCTGATTCAGCGATATTAACTTATTAATATGATAACAATTTAATTTACAACAATAAGTAATATTTGATACTGATACACAATATCCCTATTTTATGTATAAGCTCGACGATCCACTCGAATGAAAAGAGTTAGAGTGAGAAATGAAGTTTATGACCAAACCGAAGTGAGATGTATGTATAATTAGTAATATATATATATATATATATATATATATATATATGTCTCCTAGAAAACTAAGCTCTCAATGGTTCATATGAATTCCCAGGAAATATGAGCTGTTTTTTGAAAAACCTCGTTCATTCATCATTTAGCCGCTTCATTATTTGACCAGTGAATCAAATAACAGTTAAATAAATAAACTTCATGATCTATTTCAAGATGTCAAGAGTGATAAGTATGCCCGTATCATACTTAGATTATTCTCTCTTTCTAAAGTTGTACTTCTGAATGGAACTAACTGTTTTGTTTATGAGGAAAGATATATGTTTCACAATGAGACATCCCAAATGAACCTTGAGCCTATATTATTTAGTTTTAAGAATAGATCATAAACCAGAGGAAAAAAATTAAGTCACAACCTAACAATCGTTTAGCTTACTTTTGACCGGAGGACATGAGTTCGATCCCAGCGGGATCGTGGATACGTACTACTGACAAGTTCTAGACTAGGACGAAATGGCTTATTCAAGTTTCCCGATGGTGGTTTACCATCGATCAATTCATGATTTCAATGAAATGCAACAATCTCCATAAACTTCTACTGATCATTACTTTGTGTTCAAGTTTGAAAAAATTTAACTAATAGCGTTAGTTGAATGCTTTAACTTTTATAAATAACATAAGGAAAGGAAATTTATCATTTCCAGCATGTATCATCTACTGAACATAAATGGCTGACTTGATACTGGGTACTGTGAAAACTATGAGTTTAATGATACGGATGGGAATTTAGAGACAGTAGATGAGCATTTATTTTACACAAAAAACTAAAATAATATCATATTATACTATATTTTAGTTGGTTATCTGATAGATAGATTCAAATAAATTGAATTGAGTAGTAGTCCACCACGATGTCAGGTATTTGTATGGTTGCACCAGAGAATTGAGCTGTGCTGTTCAGGTTGTAATGTTAACACGTGTAAAACTACCCTTACCCATTGATAGTGTAAATTTATACAATTGTGAGAATATAATAAATAGTAAGCTTATATCAATTACTCAATTACTTGTTGCGTGAACACATAATTGCAACACTATACAATTAAGAATTAATAACCAACAGATATAACGAATTGACTACGTCATATAATTACTGTTTCTTAAAATGTACCTACATATCACGGACTCTTGAACAAAAAATCAATTTAACATATCATTGGACTCTGTTCACTTCAGTTCTCGTCACAACAAAACTTGTTACTCCGCCATAAAACTCACTTCAGATGAATCATATCAAAGAAAAATATTCATTTTCAGAAAACACTTATTGAACTGTTCATAGAACAGCTGTAAGCAACAATGTTAGTCTCATTCACCTTTTTTTATCATCATTATATATTCAGTGAAAAAAAATGCGCGAAATTTGACCGAAGGAAATCCTCTTTTCTATATTTTTATTTACTAAAGTTATACAATTCAACAACAACAAATTACATTAATTAAATGAGAGTAACTGAATAAAATTTAAAGCTTAGCATAAGTATGCGGTAAATAAAAGTAATTTATCCACTTGATAAAACAACAATCATTAGGAGAGAAATGAGTGAAAAATTTTTCTAGAATCTTAACGGTTAATTTTACTGAAAATATGAAAAGATTAGATAAAATGCTTGAAGAAGAAAACTTTCATTAAAATACGATCATTTTGGCTGTAAAAGAGAGTTATGGAGATTAATGCAGAAATTCTAGTTTTATTAGTTCTCTCATATGAATGAATGTCGTGGGAAAGTTTACTGTTTTGAGTTATTTAAAGAATTTTCATAACCATAGTTTCCTTTATCATATTGAAGATAACAAGAACAGAAGAGTTGAGCATGAATTGAACATGAATTCATTCTAATTTTGTTTGGTTCTAGTCAGCTGCTTACGACATGTAATATATCAAAATCATAATTACAAATTCGATTTAAATTACTATTGGGGATGTTAGATCCCCAGAACTTGCTTGGAAAATGTCTTAATTTTGGATTTTATGTTTTCGAGCATGGGCTGATCAGTTGACCTTGGGATCAAATTTCCCATCAGGGAATTCCTTGGCTGCGATTGGTTGCTGCGTTATTTTAGTACATTATTTTAGTGACTCTACCAAGGACGTTTCTATGATGTATAAATAAACGCGATTTGTGTGCTTGATATCATTGTGTTTGCTGGGTGTTTGAAGAATACACTTTCTACGCTATATCAATACTTCTTCGTTAGTTCCTTTGAGGAAACCGATCAGAGTATCATAAAGTGTCACTGGTTCATTGTCTCGTTCTCGTTTATCGACTAAGGTGAACTCGTAATAGTTTCAAGCATATCAAGTGACGAGCACGACAATGACTTACATGAAAGAGTTTATTTAGTTGGAAGTTGCTAATGATCATACTTCAGTGTAGTAATTGTGTAAGTGATTTGAATAGACTGAATAAATGGTTGTTAAGAACATTCTGCAACACTGATAATAACAATAGTCTAGAAATCCGTGGTTACATAATGAATGAATGCTGGTAATAAATAAAATGAGTAGAGACCAGTTAGTTGAAATAGGATTACTAATCTAGAAGACAGTCGAAATGAAGACGTAGCTGTGCAATTAGTTGAAAATAAGAGTTGAACAAAATTTTATCGTATAATGAAGGAATATTTATCACCATGGTAAAGAAAGATTGACCACTATCTCCTTGTCAACACATAAATCAGGTTTCAAGAGCCTGATACCAACGGCTTCGGAATATTACAGCTTGGGTTGTTGTTAAC